GCACTTCAAGCTGAGAAAAAGCAAGCTCCAGAACAGAAGGAGATTGTCGAGAAGGAGTCAAAAGCCGCAGAGCCTGAAGTTGAAAGTGAAGATAATAACTCCTCTTCATCTGAAGAAGAAGACGAATATGGAGAATTGTTGACTGAGAACGTCGAGAGCTCTATTCAGAACGTTCTTAGCGCATTGAAAAGTGATCCAAAGAAGCTTTTGGATCCAGAGGCCAAATTCTTCGACGAGAACGATAATGCCGTCTCGAAGAAGTCCAAAGATAAGCCCTTGTACTTGAAGGACTACCACCGTCAGACTTTGTTGCTGGGCGACTACAAGAACGATGACGAAGATAATGAGTATGGAACGGTCGACGGTGAGAAGCCTTTTGTTATCACTGAAAGGGAAGAGAGAAACCAGCTTCTCGACGATATCAAGAATGCATTCGATGGAGAAGAGGAGAATGATGACGAGGACGATGGTTTCATGAAGAAGAAAGAGAAGCTGAATGCTGTTAAAGACATCGTTTCCCTGCTACCTGACCCTAGCAAGAGTGCTCAGGAGTTCTTGAGTGCTTTCCTCGATAGAAAGGCATGGGTGCCCACTGAGAATGACAAGGTTATTGACTTGGACAGAATCGACAACGAGGACGAACAGGACTTTGACGATGCTGTTGACGAGTTGGAGAGAGCTTACAATTTCCGTTATGAAGATCCAAACTCGGCTGAAATTGTCTCGTATGCTCGTAACCAGGCCACTGTGAGAAGAGCGAAGACGAATGCAAGAAAGAAGGAAAGAGAGAGAAAGCATGCTGAGAAGGAGAAGCAAAACGCTGACGTTGAGAAGGCCTTGCAGAAGAAGAAGACAGAGAAGTTAAACAAGGTTGTCGACAGACTTAATAAGATCAAGGAGGCTGTTGGTGAGGACATCAGCAACGACGTCATCGAGAAGGTCTTTGGTGACTCGTTATTAAACGATGACTTTGACGATGCTGACTGGGATGACAAAATGGCCCAGGTCTTTGATGCCCAGTACTATGACGCTGAGATTGCTAAGCCTGAATGGGATGAGGACGACGAGATCATGGCTGAGTTCCATGCCTCCAAATCTGCTGAAGCTAATGAAGAAGAGGGTGAGGCCGAAGGCGAGGAAGCTGAACTGGAGAAGCCTAGCAAAAAGCTGAAGAAGGAGAAATTGAAGGAGAAGAAGGAAGCCAAGAAGCTGAAGCATAATATCAGAGAGGAGGCCGAAAAGATCGTCGAAGCCAACAAGCTTAGAATCAGGGATGAAGTTGAGGAAGAAAGAGGACGTTCCAAGGAAAACGATGCTAACAAGTTCAGATATAGAGAGGTGTCTCCTGAGGCATTTGGTCTCTCGACGAGAGAGATCCTTTTAGCAGACGACCTGGCCTTGAACCAGTTTGTCAGTATCAAGAAGTTTGCGCCTTACAGGCCGAAGGAGCTCGCTTTGAAAGACAAGAGAAAGTTCGCTAAGAAGAAGCATCTACAACAATGGAGAAGAGATGTTTTCAAGAACAAGGAAGGACCTGCCAGGCAGCCTGGTGAGGAGGAAGGTGAAATCTGGATTCCTAATGAAGCCGAGGAGGAGGAAAGACCCCGCAAGAAGAGCAAGAAGTCTAGGAAGTGAACAACGTCAAATTTGCATCTATATTAAACCTTATACTACGACAAATAAACCAAGATTCCCAACCAATTACTTACCTAAAACGATAGTAAATCACTTCTAATAAATTTTGAGCGGACAAACTGAATTTCATTGGGCAGAAGGTTTTGTGAGCTTCACTTAATCGTAACCTTTGGGGAAACTAATGATGGACTTGGCCGCATCTCTGGACCTAGACTTGATCTTCATACCCAACGATCTGATAGATCTCTTCTCGTCTTCCTGCTTGATGATAGATCTCTCACGAGACTTCAAGTAGAGTCTAACGAAACAAAGCAAGCAAAAAACAACACTGAAAGAGATGGCGATGATACTGAAGAACCATGCAAGTCCAGCAGCTCCCTGGCCAGGCACTTCGACGTTCATACCAAATGCAGAGAAAACCGAGTTCATGGGCAAGATCAACGTACCAAGCAAGGTAACACCTCCCAAAATCTCAGTGACTCTCAAGTTAGCGTTGAAAGACTCCACCTGCAATTGTGCCAAATAGTTAGAGTGAGATCTGCTAAAAATCTTCTCATAAGCACCCAAGTTTTGGTACATGGTAAGAACGTGATCTTGGATATCACCCAAGTACAATGCAATATCAGCTCTTGGCTGTGCAACCTTTCCTCTTTGCTGATTGAAATCAGATTGGTTCGCAGATTCGCTGCCAGACTTTGGAGGTGGACTGAAGTCCTCGTAGGCACGGACACCGTAAGGGTTCTCGTCCTGACATCTCTTGGCAAACATCTTGATAACATCCGCCTTGTTGGAAAGAAGTCTCATCAATGTCATGACTTTTCTTCTAGCCTCACCAATCTTACGCAACATGGAACTGAAGTTCATCTCACGAGCAGTCAACACCGAGTCTTCAATGGCATCAGCTTCATACTCGATACCCATGATAACTGGAGCAAAACCATCGGTAATGTCATCGATCATGGCGTAACAAAGCCAATCAGCGTTCACGTCAACGTATTCCCTCAATTGACGAACTCTTCTTCTAACGTTGGCTGGGTGAGGAACTGGAGCAAAGTGGAAAGTCAAAACACCCTCCTTAAACACAACGATGTAGAAGTTAATGGGCTCCAAGTAGTCCTCAGACTCCTTGTCAGGTTCGAAAGTATGGAAACACACAAAGTAGTAGCTGCGGAACAATTCGACCTTCTCACGGGTCTCTTGCATTCTAATATCTTCCGCAGTCAAAGGATGGATACCGAAAGCTTTAGCCAAAGTCTTCACTTCAGCGTCAGTTGGACAGGTAACATCCAACCACCAAGTGCCATCGCCATTCTTGAACAAATCCTGAACAGTCTGTCCCGGCTCAACCAAGGACGGAATGTCAGGGGCGTGGACGGTTTCCTCATTGTCAGAGTGGAAGAAAGAGAAACGCTCTGGCAAGGCGACATCATCGTCCTCATTGATCTTGGCGCCACCGAATTTGACAACGTAGGACTCATCGTCGTCAGGGGTGTTCTTCTCGTAGAAAGCCGAGTCGGATGACTCCGAGCCATGTCTCCCCTTGTCAGTAGTGGTTCCCTGGATGGAGGGAGCCTTTTGGGAGATCAGGTCATTGTTGGTTCTGATCTTCGACAAGATGTGCTTGGGAGTGTACTTGGCTGCATTCTTGCTCAAGGGTCTACCGGAGAGTGCATTGCCCGTAGATCTTCCAGAGGACTGCGCATCCCAGCCAGTGTTCAGGGCAATCATATTGGCCTGTTGTCTGAGCTGTTCAGCGTTTTCTCTCTCTTCTTTGATGAACTCCTCAATTTCATCAAAATCGATTCCGTTCACACGAACGTGCTCCCGCAACATAGGGAAACAAACGTCCTCTTCTGTCTCTTGAGAGGTTCTAGAAGCGTGGGAATCGGCATCGCTGTCCATCGAAACCTTGGAAGGTCTGCGGTCACGTCTCAGGAACTGAGGGGCGTTAGCGTCAGAGCCAAAGGTGTCATTGGTGCGGTATCTAGCCAACACATTCAATTGGTCCTGCCTCTCCAAGGAGCTGCGGGAATGTCTGCTGGACCTTCTCATCAAGTAGGCAGCATCCTCGGCAGAAACAGCCTCGCTGACCGACTGGGAACGAGTGTTTCTGCGGACTCTAGGGATCTCAAAATTTCTCCTAGGCCCCGAGGCTGCGAGGCCTTCCTCGTCAGGAGGAGGCAAGTTCTCCCGTTGTTGTCTGTGGTCGTTTAAGACATGGTCGGGGCGCTGGGGCACGGCCTGGTTGGCCGAGGTGGAGTTGTAGCTTTCAGAGTCGGACATTGCAAGAGCGCAGGGTTAACTTTGGATCACTTGCTTTTTTCTTCTAATTTAGCGCCAGTGGGCTGTGATCATGTCTGGGGAGGACAAGCGAGCAAAGAACGATGCGTGGTGGGTCTTCATAGATGGAAGTCCAATGGGTCTATCCTTCTTTGGGTGAAGAAGAAAAGAGAGAAAAAACGGTGGAGCACGATGCCCTTTTATTTCGCGCTGAGAAAAATCACTGCAGAGAAATTAAGACAACCATTTGCAACACACGCCATGCAAGGCTTTTGCTCCGACGACATGCTTGAAAAAAAAAAAAAAATTTAGACTTTTCCCCAAAATAAGCTTTTCTTTATTCGACATTTGCCTCTCTAGTCTATGGCGGATTTCTTTTTTGGTACTTTTGTGACATCAGGAGGTCCGGTGACCACGTTGTGCCATGCCCTGGCACTCGCCTCATCACAAATTTATTGGCACCGGCCACTTGCTTGCACCACCTCGATTCACTCAACCGCCCTATCAGCACCTCAGCCCCCGGGCTGAATTTGCGGGATTTTGATCCTGACAAAGTAGCGACTAAATTTTTTGGCCGATAAAATGATAAGATTTTTTTTGTGTAATTAATCTTAATTTTTGTCACCCCCCTTCCCATGAGATACCCTTGCTTCTGCTGCCTTGGAACAATGTCAGTGCGCACTGGGAACAATCTTAGCGATGGCTCGCCAGGGCGATGTTCCGAGAAGATGTGAAAATTCTTGCCATTTTTCGCTATCCCTTCTCAGTAGGCATTCTTTTTGAAAATCCCTCACATACCACTGTGGCATCGCCTCGCCTTGTTCGGGTCTCATGCATTGTACGATTTTCCACACGGCTACCTATCACAAAATACAATTAATAATATTTTGCAATTTTTTGTCGTCTTCTCCACCCATCCAAATCTCCCACATACACCTACATCAATTTATACTTTTCTTCACCGCAACCATCTATTCTATTCGGCTACCTGCCTCGAACCGTCTAAACAATGCTCAGCGCAGCATGTACAATCTGGATTAGCCCGCCCTGCGCACTCGCCGCTGCCCTGACTCATATCTACCGGCCTAGCACCACTCAACTGGATTCTGCAATACCTTCACCAAACGGGCCTCCTCGGTGCCTTCTTCTGGATGGTGGTCGTACACCCAGCTGGCCGTTGCAGGCAACGACATCAAAATACTCTCGACTCGGGAGCCGGGCGTCTGCAAGCCAAACTGCGTGCCTCTGTCCAAGACCAAGTTGAATTCGACGTAGCGCCCGCGGCGGATCTGCTGCCACTTTTTCTGCTCGGCAGTGAACTCTTGGTGCATGCGTTTTTCAACAAGCGGCACGTAGGAAGGTAAAAAGGCGTCGAAGCAGGACTCTACGATTTGTAAGATCTCGTCGGCGGGCTTGTCGTCAAAGTCGTCAAAGAAAATGCCGCCCACGCCTCTAGTCTCGTTTCTGTGCTTGATGTAGAAGTACTCGTCGCACCACTTCTTCCACTTGGGGTACAATGCCGTGTCGTACTTGTCCAATGCATCCTTGTGTGTCTGGTGGAAGTGCTTAGCGTCCTCGTCATACAAGTACGAAGGTGTGAGGTCGCATCCACCGCCAAACCACCATGTCATCACTTCGCCATTGTCTGGATCGGTGGTCTCGAAGTATCTGTAGTTGGCATGGGTCGTTGGAGCATGGGGGTTGTGGGGGTGGATCACCATTGACAATCCACAGGCGAAAAAGTCCACCGATCCGTCTGCTGCACCCTTGAGGTTACGGTGGTCAGCACGCATCCGCTGGACAGCCTGAGGAGGCAATTTGCCGTGGACAATTGAGATGTTGACACCTCCTTTTTCAAAAGTGGTGCCGTCCTGGAGAACCATCGACTCTCCGCCTCCACCGTTGTTACCTCTCACCCACGCATCCGTGTGGAACGTGGTGGTGTCCAAGGCGGCAAGCCCGTCGGTGATTTCCTTCTGCTTCAAGCGCACAAGCGCTTCCATTCTCTCTCTGATGGAGAGGCTGCTGTCGTGGATTTTGTCGGCCATACTTGATGAAAGAGACTCGCTCGTGCACTTATATATGGGCAGCCTGCACGCTTGATCTGGTGGTGTGATAGTATACGAGTGTGTCCGTACGGGGCCAGCTGGCGAATGGGCTTTGGTGTATTAGTGAGGCAATTTGGGGAAGTCAGAAATAGCTGGATTCTCTTTTACGATTGGGATTAGGGGCTGGGTAGTGGGTTGTCGATAAGGTATCAGGTGCGCAATGGTTGCAAAATATGCCCTTACGAGGGAGAGCAGTACGAAGCGGCACAACTCAGAAATGAGTCTACGAATTTTTGAGTCGTTATATTAAAGACTTTGATTTTCCTTTTTCCATTCATGAGAAATGGCTTCGTGTGGTTTGACGGAATCGATGGCATCAATTGACACTGGACTGACATCATGCGGACCACTCCGTTTCTCCTTTCCAACGTTGTACGATTGGCGGAAGCGAGAAGACTAATCTGACAGGTACGTATACGAAAAGGGGTACGCTAGGTCATTCGAGAAATGAAAATGGCGCCGTTCAGGTAATTCGCTGAATTTTCATGGCAAGAGGCAGTAACTCCGGTTATACAGCAGTTTGAGTAAAAATTGATTTTAGACTTTACACTTTACATTTTCTGAGCGACGCTCGAGCGACCCAGGGCTGCCAATCGGAAGCATTCGTATAGTGACCATCAAAAACCTCTAATTCTATGAAATTGATGTGAGGGCGACAGAATCCCGTTGCCATCGCACTGGAGTGCACCACCTCGCCAATGGCAGCTCAATTGTCCATCAGCACAGTGGCATCGGCCTCCCTGGTGTTCTCCATGACATACAAGGCATTCTGCCAGTCGCTCCCATCGGCCCTGGCCACAGCTTCCTCGTGGTTTTTCGCTATGCCCGCAGCCAAGTGCCTCCGCACAATTCTCTCCCGCACCGTTTCTGGCGCAGTGCGGACCACCCAGAGCTCATCCACCAAATCCGCCAATTGCACCCAGGGCTCATCCTTCAAACCTACGTAGTTGCCCTCAATGAAAACAACCTGTGCCAGCGGCTCAATGCAAATGTCATCTTCGACTGGGTCCTTCTTAGCGTGGTCAAACAGCGGCGCCAACACTTTTTCGCCGTTGCGGACCCGCCTCACTGCATCCACAAAACGGGCCCCGTCAAACGTATAGGGTGCTCCGCGGCGGCGGAAGGCCTCCTCGGGGTCGTTGAAGCGCGCCAATTGCTCGCGGTAAAAGTGGTACCCGTCCTGCGGGAGCACATTGCTCGACACTCCGCACGAGCCCAAAACAGCCACCATTCGTTCCACTAGCGTCGATTTGCCTGCGCCCGGGACGCCTGCCACAGCCACGACAACCCGCTTTTTCAGCTCGAGAAGCCGCTGCACCCGCTCCTGCAATTGATCGAGTTGGCTGCTTTCGTAATGCATCAGTCAAAGAAGACCTTGTGTTCCGTGCCCGACCACTGGATGGTGGATGCTCGCTGCTTTATGTATGCCTTCCACCTCCACCCCGCGAATGCCTATCTGTGCTATCTAACGGACTTGGGGTCAGTGTGGGCCGAGACAGCCTCACGAGACGACGTTGCCGAGCGGGCTCGGGCGTTAGGCCTCCTGAGGGTGGACTCCGAAACTTTGGATGTTTTAGAGCAGGAAATCCAGGCTGCTTTTGACAATAAGCTGGTTCACATAGAGCAGCTGGGTGACCTCTACACCGTCTCGGTGGACCTACCGAGCCTCACCTGGGAAATCCGGTTGCAAAAAATGGATCTGCCTCAAGCAGCATCATTCCTAGCTTCTCTAAACATCTCTCAGTTTGCCAACCATAGTTACCTCGCATACAAGGTGTCCCAGCTTGAGAAAGCCTTGCGGGCCAAGGATAAGTACACCTTGTACTTGGAGGAGAACTATAAGACAGTCAATGGCACGGTACTCATGGACAAGTATAGGCGACAAAACACTGATGATGCTCCATTTCTCAAGCCATACTCCCGTGGAATCTTCGACGGAAGGGTACGAGAGCTGTACGGTCTGTTGGGCCGGAAGTTGGAAGCAGAACCCGACTCTAGAGAATCGCTCATTTGGAACTTGATTGACTCCGTAACGCAGGATGTGCAGACATGGAAAGCTGGCCAATGGATACAGCTGTCGGATACGGCTGCTGTGAAAACAGAGCCGGGTACCATCGAACCTACACAAGTCAAGAAAGAGAAGAAGCCGTTAGATCTCAAAAAAGAGAGCCCCTCCTCAAAGGTCGAGCTGCCAAGCAAAAGGCGCCGTGTTGGTATTTTAGGACGTCAAAGGCCTACCAGCGAGGAGAGAGCCAGTCCCTCTCCTCAGTCGCCTGGAAAACGTAAACGTGTTGGCATCATCAAACGCTGATTATCTGGACCTTCTGTGTGCCACTGCCATATCTTTCCACCTCTGCATGATCGTATTCATCTGTGTAATTTGCGGTCCTTCCAACTCCTTTTGAATCAAGGCCTCTAGGAACCCGCTCCAAAATGTGATGAAGTCGTCTAGCGTTTCCTTATCGGTTGGCTTGTAGCAGTATTCTAGTGAAGGGCTCTTCGAAGCGAACTGTGAGCGGTACGTCGTACTGCCGAAATATTGATTGAAAACCGTTCGCCAGAATCTGGAGATGATGTCGGCAACATCTACAAGGCTTGCCGCTTTGCTGATATCGTACCCTCTGACAAGATCAAGCTCTTCTCCATAGCTCAGTTTCATGCAGTGTTGTATCATTGACTTGGTCAATTGCAAGACCTCATTGTAAATGACCTCCTCATAACGCTGAGTAGTGTAGTCTGGTACTTCTATGCGTCTTTCCCTTACAACTTTCTGCTCCTGGATTCTTCCGAAACGGTGAAAATTCTCATGCGAGATCATCAGAGCGATTTTTGCAGCCGTCATACCATCTCTATAGCTTACGGTAAGGAGCTCGTTCAGAAGTGCCTTTGTACAAAGGTTTTTATCGTTCGTCAAAAGGACTTGAAGCGTTTTGGGATTCGTCCGCTGTATGTAAAGAGCACAGTCTAGAATCGCATCGTCTTTCACAGCCAAACGGTTAATCCTTTGATCAAGTGCCTGACCGATCACAGCGGGGTCTTTTTTTGCAAAACAATTGTAAATCCAGTCATTGGCCCATCTGGCCAATTGACCGATTGAAGTGAGTGAAACTGAGTTACCCTTCTCTCTCCGGGTCTTGGAGTTCTTCAACCCGTCCAATTCCTGTACTACGGTAGTTGGAATAACCATACGAAGCCTGTGTTCCTCAGCTAGGTTTCTCAATTCGTCTAGTACGTTCAAATGGGACAAGATAAAATTGGTGTCCACGATCAAATAGGACATGTTCCCGCTCACTATGAAAGTTTCCCTATGCACAAGCTGTAAAGCGTCCATATCCATATCGTCAGGATTAAATGCACCTTGCAGTCGGGAAGTCAGAACATAGGCGGAGATGGCATTGGTTTCTTTCTTGCTGTCCATGGATATCATTCCAATCTCTTCCTTCATTCTTTCCTTTGCATTGTTTACTTTATCATTGATGCGTCTATAGATGTACTCAACTGGTTTGGGCTTTTTTGTTGTAGCTCCACTAGCCAAAACTTTCCTCCTGTCGGCTGTCAGAAGCCCTACGGAGGAATACTTGGAAGGGATAGCCATATCCAACTATGGGGTTGATACTCAATTCCAATTTGGGGTAATTTCGCAGGACTGATCTGGAGTCCGGATCCGTACATCTTATTTGCAGCCATGAAAACGCTTTTGCAAAAAACTGTCTACAGAGAATTAAAACACATTAACTATTATGCTAAATGCAAAGACCTGCTATTATAACCAGTATAGTAGCAAGCATTAGAAAAGCTGTAACATGAACTCAAATATGCTCACAGAAACGCTGATGACAATGATGATTATAATCATGGTGGTGATACGGCTGGTGTTGGACTCGTTGATGCTGTCACTGATGATATTCGAGAACTCCAAAAAGACCTTACATCTATCATTCAAAACCAGGACTCTTTGCTCGATCTCAAGATAATCACGCACAGCATTATAGAGGGGATGCAAGGCAGGTTCAAGAGACCAGAAGAAATTTGGCGTATCCAAAATAGAACTTGACAAGTTGACATCCACTCGCAACTTGAAGAGCTTGCCAGATTTCTTCAAAAGCTGCTGCCTCTTGAGGCCTAGCTTTCCTGTCAAAGCTAGCTTCTTTGGAAGTTTCGATATCAGCTGCAAACTATGCACCATGCGGCTCTCGAAGAGACAAAGCTTCGTCAGTTGGGCGAGAGCATATGACATTGTAAGCTTAATGAGGTGGTCAGCAGAACGTAAGGTGATCATGTCATTATAGATTCTGGGTCTTTGCACCAGTGAGTCGTACTCAAAGTGGAATTCCTCGGTTTCAATCTCATGATCACTAATTGGATTTATTAGAATTGGGACCTCTGAGAAGGCAAGGTCGGCCAAAATGTTTTTCTCGTGAATTTCGGTGAAATTCCAGAAGACAATAATACCATATTCAAGCACGAACATCTCGGCGTGATGTTTACTGATCTCTTCTTGAGCGTCATCCTTGTTCATACGGCTGAGACTTTCTGGTTTCAGTGACTCGCTATTAGCTTCCGACTTTTTAGAAGACGTTTCACCCTCGCTATTGCTGTCATCCTCGATGTCTTGAGGTGGCGCAAAAAACTGAGGCTCTGAAGGATCGAATGGGCCATAGTTCTCAGCATTACCATCTTCAGGGTCCATCGAGTAGTTCATAGCGTCTTCAGGCGTTTCAACACCCGAATAGTATTCATACAAATGATCAGTCTCCTCAGACTTACGAATCATCTTCTCCATGTATCGTTTGCTTGGCAACGATTTGGCAGTATCATTGGACTTGACTCTGAAACCGTCAGATCCTGGTAGCAACGGCAATGCATAAGGAACGTAGAGTGCTTCGTCGTACAATCGAGGCTTAACCTCATGTGTGTTCTTGAGGAACTCCATGAGAGCAGTATTATCAAATTCCTCACAAATGAAGTAGGCGGTGACTCTACTGAATTCTTGTGCCCTTGCTTCCTTAGGCATGAGTTCTGCCCTGCTTCTCTGAATCTGAGGGGTATCAGACCTGTCCAGTGGAGGCGGTGACCCCACACGTTGAGGCAGTAAAGATCCTGGACTAGATTGGTGCTCATCAGGAATCAAGACCAATTTCTGAGACGTCTTGGATGTTCTCGCAGGTAAGTTCTGCGATAGTTTGGGTATGCTTCTGATGTTTCTTCTTCTCTGCTCTTGCAGCAATCCAGCGTCAATCGGTGGCAGGGAGGGTCTTGGGGAAGGAAAGCGTGCGTTCTGAGCAGAATTGGGGAATCTGCTTTGGCCAGAAGGAATATCACTGGAGTTGCTCAACAATTTGTCAACAGAGATATCGGTGTACTTATTCGAGCGAGTATTGAATCGACGATGCAAGGAAGGGGTCAGTGGATGGCTTCTATTATCTGAATAGTTCGATCCACCCAGTTGTCCCAGTGACTGCTGCTGTTGTTGTTTTCTATAATTCTGCCCAGCAAATGGAGCCCTGGCGCCCTTCACATTACTGCTTCTAGCGTCGGTGACTAAAATCGACGGCGATCGCTTGGCCGTGGGTCGCAGGTTACTCTTATCCTGCGAATCTGTATTTCGCCCATTCGACATGACGGGTGGGTTGTAGGTTTTTGATAAACGGCCCTATGAGGGTACTGCTTTTCGATATCGGTAGGAGCGAGCTATCGCATCGGCACGGTCATGTGACGAAATAGGCTGAATTTTAGTGGACTAGAGGTCGTTTTAGGTAGAGTTCTGGATGAAGTATCTTTAAGAATTGATGATCTCTTTGATTTCGGAATAAAATTATTTTTTGTGGGATATTTCGTGTTTCGTACTTTCGGGGGGATCTGGCAGCTTCCCCTGAAATATAGAAACCGCATGCACTACGAATGAGCGAAGAAGGCTTAAGTATGTGGAAAATCTTACTGACATAAAATTTGAAAATAAAATCTAAATGACAAACCATTTGTCCAAACGCAATGCTCATGGAATAAAAAAGGGAAGAACGATTGCCTGGACTTTTTACCTTAAGTATAGCTGAATAGGTTGCATTGCGTAAGCGCAGACCTCGACCCACAATTCAAATTACTCCAGTCACATCAGACTTAAAAACGAGGTTTTCGAAATCAACAAGTAGCAAAAACCTCACATTATTTACTTTTAAATCCCTCGAGGCCTTCGTAAGAACACACTTGCAAGACATCTTAGCGGTTCCCTATTCACGTGACCTCCATCAGAATTTTCCATAGACGTTCTCATTCAGTCATCTTGATCCTTACCAATGGCTACCCTTACTGTCGCTGCCAAGGCTCCTTTTATAGCCTACTCCGCTATTATTGCTGCGGAGATCGTGATCTCTGACTCCGACAAAGCTGTCACTGTTGAATTTGTTGACGACAAGAACGTCGAGAAAGATGCCACTGTCAAGTACACCGACGGTGGAAACTCCGTCACTGGTGATGTTGAGGTCCTTTCCCAATTAACCTCTGCTGCCCCCACCTTGGCCAACCCTGAAGGCGCCAGCACTTGGGTGAGCTTTGCTTTCGAGAAATTGGCCAACAAGAACTTCAAGGCCTTGGCTACCGACTTGGAGAAGTTGGATGCTCACTTGAACTTCAGATCCTTCATTGTGGGCCACTCCCTTTCCATTGCCGATGTGGCCGTCTGGGGTGTCTTGAGAGCCAATGCTGTCATGGGCTCCGTGCTCAAGAACGAGGTTTACGCCAATGTCTCTAGATGGTACAACTTCATCGGATCCGACTCCAGATTCGACTCTGTGGCCGAGAAGACTACCAAGTCTATCAATGAGTTGAGAAAGGCCGTGAAGGCCGCCTCTGGTGCCAAGAAGGAGACTCACAAGGCCAACTTCGAGATTGACTTGCCTAACGCCAAGGTCGGTGAGGTTGTGACCCGTTTCCCACCAGAGCCTTCTGGATACTTGCACATCGGACACGCCAAGGCTGCCATCTTGAACGAGTACTTTGCTCACGCTTACAAGGGTAAGTTGATCATCAGATTTGACGACACCAACCCTACCAAGGAGAGAGTTGAGTTCCAGGACTCCATCATTGAGGACTTGGCTTTGCTCGGTATCAAGGGTGACCAGATCACCTACTCTTCCGACTACTTTGACAAGATGTACGACCTTGCGCTCACCTTGATCAAGGAAGGCAAGGCTTACTGTGATGACACCCCACAGGAGAAGATGAGAGAGGAGAGAATGGTTGGCGATGCCTCCGCTAGAAGAGAGAGAACCGTCGAGGAGAACTTGAAGATCTTCACCGAGGAAATGAAGAACGGTACCGAGGAGGGCTTGAAGAACTGTTTGAGAGCAAAGATTGACTACAAGGCCTTGAACAAGGCTTTGAGAGACCCTGTCATCTACAGATGTAACTTGACTCCACACCACAGAACAGGTTCTCAGTGGAAGATCTACCCAACATACGACTTCTGTGTGCCTATTGTTGACTCCATTGAAGGTGTTACCCACGCTTTGAGAACCAACGAGTACAGAGACAGAAACCCACAATACGAGTGGTTCTTGAAGGCTTTGAACTTGCGTCACGTCGACATTTGGGACTTCGGTAGAGTCAACTTCATCAGAACTCTCTTGTCGAAGAGAAAGTTGCAGTGGTTCGTTGACAAGGGATTCGTCGGTAACTGGGACGACCCAAGATTCCCAACCATTAGAGGTGTGAGAAGAAGAGGTATGACCGTCGAGGGATTGAGAAACTTCATTCTCTCCCAGGGTCCTTCCAAGAACATCATCAACATGGAGTGGTCTACCATTTGGGCCATGAACAAGAAAATCATCGACCCAGTTGTCCCAAGACACACTGCTGTGGATGCTAAGAATGCCGTCAAAGTACAGCTTTCCAACGGTCCTGCTGAACCTTACACTGAAGACAAACCCAAGCACAAGAAAAACGCCGACATTGGCTTGAAGAAGGTCATTTTCTCCAAGAATTTGTTGGTCGACCAGGCCGATGCTGCTACCTTCGCTGAGGGTGAGGAGGTCACCTTTATGGACTGGGGTAATGTGATCATCAAGAAGATCAACAAGGAGGGCGATGTTGTTTCTTCCATTGACGCTGAGTTGCACTTGGAAGGTGACTTCCGTAAGACTGAGAAAAAGGTTACGTGGCTTGCTGATACTGATGACAAGATCGAGGTTGAGATCCACGACTTTGACCATTTGATCACTAAGGACAAGTTGGAGGAGAACGATAACTTCGAGGACTTCATCACTGAGAAGACCGAGTTTGTATCTACGGTTTATGCTGACGTGAACGTCAGATCTCTTAAAAAAGACGACATTATTCAGTTTGAGAGAAAGGGTTTCTTCAAGGTTGACGAGAGTCTTAAAGAGGGCAAGATCGTGATGTTCACCATTCCTGACGGTAAGAAGAAATAGATTCTGGATTCATAATAATTGCACATTGATTCAAGAAGATAGTACACAGCTCGGCAACTGTAGCACAACATCCGCAAAATTAGGCCCTTGATGATTGGACCGGACTGGTGGAGCTCTTTCAATTCTGATTTCCTGTTTAGAGATCCAACGGTCTGAGAAAGTCCTTTGTAGCAATGGCACCAAAAATAGGAGAAATCCGGGTGGAATTTCGCATGCGATTCCCGATTGTTCAGCGCGGTACATAGTAAGAAAACTGGAATGCCGAGGACTTCGCTCTCTAATAGGGACACGTTGAACCACATTCAGATCAGCTTATTGTCTTGATTTCGTCAATTCGTGTTCGAGGCTCGAGAAGCCAAATATTCTTGTGTGTAGTGGTGTTTCATGTCGATCCTAGAGCCATGAATCTGCGACTGCTAAGCCCGAAATAGACGAGCATAAGCCACAACCTCCCATCCTCGGATTGCATCGAAATAGACACAAATGCATGGACCACATGCAAATTAGAAGAGTTTGCAATTACGGCATTATCATAGGTTGTTTAAGGTTTCGGTAGATGGAACAGTCCATACACCACATCCCACACAATGCTTTCTCGAACAGGATATACGAATGGAATCGCCAATTTCTACTTGTAGTGCTTTATTCGTGAAGAGCCTCCTAATGAGGAAGAGTGGTACCGAAGACGCGAATATAACAATTGGCGATGACTTCCCTGTGATAGATGCCCTCGAGCAACAATGGGAACCTGTACCCCTTTTAGGAAATTCGGGCAAGTGTGCTCGCTGCCATAGACGAATTAACCGAGATAATGAACAATGGGCTGTGAGAGGCTTTCAAATGGAACTTTTATGTATGAAAAGATTGTCGTCATGCAAGGCGCGCATCGAGACGCAGCTCAGATGCTAACCACTGCAACTCGCATACAGGGTTCTTCAAATGGTAAGGTGGGTGAGACTCGTATAAATTGGCCAGAATAGATCAAAATGGAAGAAACAAACCAGCCATTTTAAGTCGAAGTAGATCTTATGTGTAGAGACAAAGGCCTGCACCCATCCAAAAAACGTCTTCAAGCCTTAGGTTCCTCTAGTTTCCTTCAAATCAGGAAAGACGTTTTCTCGTTTTGGCTTCTGAATCAGTTGACACCCGTAGTAGTGAATTGAAGCGGGGGATTATGTGAATGATGGTAAAAAATCGTACGAGTTGAGCCATTGATATCGAGCGTTCTCGGATATTGGAATTAGTCTCCAGCATCATGATTTTATCTGGATCGCCGTTTGAGACCTTTGGGGAAGTGTGGGGTGATTACACGAAGTCTTTTAAGAAAAGAAGGGGTTTTTAGTTGGAATTTGAAATTATTGGCATCGAGAAGGTTCAACGATTAATACATCCATATGGTTTTGAGCGCTATGAAACATTCTTTGTGTCCGGTCCAATGAGTCGTACAGTTTGGATCAAACCTTACCTTTTGACATTGCTTTGGTTCACCTCACCAAAAATAGAATACTTCACTGTGATCGTAAATTGTATGTGCTTCTTGATCAATGAAAATGAGAGTTTCAAATTAGAATGAGACTTTAACTCCTCACTTGTTGTGATTTCGACGCATGGTCTTCTCTTTGTGTGACCCATATTGGGTTTCAATTTAGTTTTCATATCTAGCAACTTCTGCAAAATTTTTCATCTGTAAAAAGAAGTTGACGACTGAGTTGAAAGAATTACAAATTACATGCTATAGCTTCTAGTGAAACTAGAATCCTTACAGTTAAGTAATTGCACCATCAACTTTCGAGTCAAACAGATTTTGTTAAATACGAGATATTCCATTCTCCTCTTTACAGTGGCCATTGAATTAGGATAACGGCGAGCCGGTATGGGAATCTTTGTCCGCCTCTTCAGTTGGTAGCGATACCCGTTGAGGAAAGGGGATTCTGGAGTAAGATGCGTTGATCTTGGGCCATTGTGATACTTCCAGAAATAGCACGTAATTTTTCCACTGGTTCAAACTAATTAACTACTTTATGAGAGAATTTTGTTTCAAAATCGACTAGTTCTAGTGTTTCATGGATACACGAAATTATTCAAGAAGCGAAATGGTATCGCGAATATTCAAGCAAAATGGGGTCGGTGCCACACATCTCGAGGCACGCAAAAGAGGAGTCAAAGGCTCTTGAAAAAGCTTTCACCCACTTTTCCGGCTCTATGTCAATGGCCCTCGGTCCAGAATCATGTAAGTGCCAGGCCTAACAATAAAAATCGCCATTTTGGGAGCGCGTTGACCTCTCGTCTTTATTTGCCAAGGCTCCCTTTTGGAGCTACGAGACACTGAATCCATAATGATCCAAAGGACACCTTGCATACCTGGTCGCCCTCGTCGTAAAGGCATACCTTTCAACCTTTCCACGAACAGTAAACCAAGATATTTATGCACCCTGTGAGGCGGGTGCACAATAACGCACAAGGGTCCAACTTGCATATCCATACAGGCTCTCAAATGCGGTTGCAAAAAGTTATTCTGGTAGACGACGAGGTCCTCCGAGACCGAATTGTTCATCTTCTCATAACTATATAAGAAGCTGAATTTCTCGAAGTTCCTTTTCTTTTTTTTTTCTTCTTCCTCACACCAGTATCTTATACCCATGCTTCCACTCAATGTTTTGATGGCGACTTTGGCCCTGGTGGCCTCTGTCAGCGCCAGGGTTATCTCCCAGCCAACTGAGTACTCTCAGAGTTGGGATTTCTCCTTGGGTCCACTCACTATCGAAGAAGGCGCCTACCTCAGAATCAACAACAACACCCTCACCACCATTGGAGGAAACCTCGACAACAGGGGTGGCTTCTTCATTTCTTCCAGCGACACGTTCCAGTCGGCTGTTGATATCACTTCTGGAAGAATCACAAACTCGGGTGATCTTGCTTTCAGAGCAGAAAACCCAAACTTTGCTTCCAGATACATTCTCAACAGTGTCGCAAGCTTCGAGAATACCGGTAACATGTGGTTCCAGATTTCCCAGGCAACGTCCACCTCTCCTTTCACGGTGACGTCTATGGCCAGCTGGAATAACACCGGTTTGATGTCCTTCAGCCAGGCTGATGGTTCTCCATCTCGTGTGAGATTGAACCAGGCTGCTGGAAGTAGCGGCTTTAACGTTATCGAAAACACAGGTAACATCTGTCTTGAGGGCACTGAGTGGGTTCAGTCTTCCAACGTTCGTGGTAATGGTTGTGTCAACGCTCTCACCCGTGGTGAGATCAGGTTGCAAACTGCTGTTGGTAACACCATTTACAACTTTGCCAGAGAGCAGGCCATTTGGTTGGAGGACACCACTTCCAGATTGTCAGTGGTTGGCTTGTCTGCTGGTAACAACAACCATGGCAACAAGCACAAGGGTAAGAAGAACAAGAGCAGAAAGAAGAACAAGCACGGCAGTGGCACCACTTCTAACCCCAACAATGTTCCAGTTATTGACGTTTACGGTTTTGGTAACGCCAACATTATCAGCGTGAACTTGGGCTTCACTGGATACAATTACGAGTCTTCCACTGGTCTCTTGAGATTGTACTTCAACACCCACTTTGGTATTACCTTTGACATCGGACCTGGTTACACAACTTTCAACACCAATTCGAATGCTGGAACTGCCACTGAGATCTGGGCCAACTACCCACCACCAAACGGTAAGCCAGATAGATGTAGCTGCAAAGAGATGCCAGAGTTTCCCAACGGAGGCGGTGACTCAGAGGAGCCCTCGGAAACCTCCAGCGAGGTAACTGAGACATCTGAGACATCTACCGAGCCAACTGAGACGAACCCTGGACCAACTGAGACCACCCCTGAGCCAACTGAGACCACCAGTGAGACCACCAGTGAGCAGACTGAGCCCACTGAGACTACTACTGAAAGCTCTACTGAGACCTCCGAATCTGCTACTAGCTCTACGGACTCCGAGACTGTGACTGAGCCAACTGACACTGACACCGGTTCGTCCACCGCCGAGGACTCTTCTTCAAGCAGTGATGTTGCTTCATCAACTGGAGATGGTTCTCTGTCTGGTTCATCCTCAGCGTCGACTAGCAGCGGTAGCAGCAGCTCTACCGATCAGCCATCCAAGCCAACTGAAGATTGCCCAGACGAAGATGAGGACGACAAGGATGACGAAGATGACAAGGATGATGACAAGCCACCAAAGGAGGACAAGGACGACAAGGAAGATGACTGCCCTGAGGACGAAGATGACAAGAAGCCACCTAAGGAGGACGACAAGGACGATGACAAGGATGGTGACAAGGATGACGACAAGGACTACAAAGAGGACGACTGTCCCGAGGACGAGAAGCCAAAGCCACCTAAGGATGATGACAAGAAACCTCCAAAGGATGAAGAAGATTGCCCTGAGGACGACAAGCCCAAGCCTCCAAAGGATGATGACAAGAAGCCACCTAAGGACGATGACAAGAAGCCTCCTAAGGACGATGATAAGAAGCCACCAAAGGAGGACGACAAGAAGCCACCAAAGGATGATGACAAGCCACCAAAGGATGACGACAAGAAGCCACCAAAGGACGATGATAAGAAGCCACCAAAGGAGGACGACAAGAAGCCACCAAAGGATGATGACAAGCCACCAAAGGATGACGACAAGAAGCCACCTAAGGACGACGAGAAGCCACCTAAGGATGATGACAAGAAAAAGACCGAGGATGATCACAAGAAGCGTCCTACTAAGACTGCTCCTGAATCGACTGCTCCTAAGTCCACCGCACCTGATTCGACTGCTCCTAAGTCAACTGCACCTGAATCCACTGCACCAAAGTCCACTAGACCTGTTCGTACTTCCCCAAGTACCACGGCTCCAGTCAGGACCACTCCTATTACAACTGCTCCAAAGACCACTGCTCCTAAGCCAACTGAGCCTACCGTTACTTCTTTCGAAGGTGCTGGTGTGAAGGCTTCTGTCGGTATTCCAACAGTCTTTGCTGTGGTTGCCGGTTTGCTCGCTTTGTAAGTCGGCTAACTTTACCATCATGACCCATTCCCTCGCTTTAGTCTTTCGCTTATTTCGGTCCATTTTACCTTTCTTCAACTGTTCATTACTTTCGATACCCAACTCATTATTCTCATGAGTCTTTTATAGCAACAACTTTTCAATTCGATGTTCTTTAAATAATTTTTTTTTTTTTTTATCGATCATTAAATTAAATGGACGCCAGAAAGAATTTCTTCCTTCCAACAAAACCTATATAGTTTTCAAGACCTACATAGTAAACCACTTAACATGTTATCAACAGAAGCTGAGTGAACCCGGGGGAACGCGACTCTCCTCTCAAAGAACTTCTCAAGCCAGAAAGTCTCTAAGCCGCTGCTAAATTTTCAAAAGTTCCAATCAAGTTATGTTATCTTATCATAATTTAAAATAGTAAGGTCCGACATATAAGTCCGGTATACATCAGAGGAAATCATCATCATTTCTCCTCAAACAACTCCTCAAAGCGGGGTTGAGTTCAGGGGGTATCTGGGTTATAAAGTTGAGTATTTTCAAGATATATCATCTTAGTCTGGGAAAATATTCGTCGATATTGTGTGGAAATAATAGTCAGTGTATGCCATTGATAGTTGTGGGCTTTTGACAGTTCCAGTCGTCTAATTTGTAATTGGTTTGGGGCCGTTTCGAAACAGAAGTTATTTTGAACTTGGTCTCAGGACTAGCGTCTTTCGAACCTATCGGAGAGTGTTATGTCTTTCTCTGTTGAGTCCTTAATAATATCCATCAACAGTTAGCCATCTCTTCAGGATGAAGTGTCAATCTCAGTATCACCAGCGTCTTGGACGAGTGGATCAATGAAAGATAGGCATCTGTGCCGCTTGTCCAACGATTAATTCCTGGAGTATACTATTAAGGCAGTCATATCTTCTCTGTATTTTCTAGAAACCACTTTTTTGAAATCTCCAATATTTTTTTAGTCAATACAAAAAAAATGTGTTGGTGTAACGTGTCTTGGTAATGAATGAGCGCGAAAAACAATTTCATTTTAACTCTATATGGCAACCAGGTCGCGCAAAATCACGTTACATATCGGAGGGTTGGCCGAGTGGTCTAAGGCGGAAGACTTAAGATCTTTTGGACGTTTGTCCGCGCGAGTTCGAACCTCGCACCCTTCATTATTTTTTTGTTCTCAATTGCTCTAGTGAATACAGCCTGACCACTTGAGCCGCAGCCGCGCACCATTCCGTCATAGCCATTTAACCCAAGCTTTGTACAGTATATCCTTAATGTCCGACCACACTTGCTAGCATACGCCCACCCCTCGATTGCTATAGTGGGGTATATATAAAGGGGTCTGTCCCCATATTCTTTGAACCACAATTCTGAACCATAATGTCCCCACAACCACATAAGATTTTCTACAAAGGCAATGAACATGATTTTGTCATCTTCACCGAGAACCCAGACTTGATCAAGAAGTACAAGGGCGGTGACACCACAATTCCTCTTGTGGACCTAGTTTCGGTTTGGAAGGTTTTCACGAACAGACAGGGTGGTGTTGACGGTATCTTGGACGAGGCCTCCAAGGCTGAATTGGAGAACGAGTTTGGTCCTAAGACGAAAGTGGACGATGCCATCAAGAAGATTCTAGATGAGGGTGAAGACAAGAAGGCCGTTGGTACCTTCGACGAGCAAAAGCCCGTGTAAATACATGAGTCATGAATAAAAATAAAGCACACTACCACTAAACAACGATGAGTGACGGAACCTGTAGATCGACCTGCTTCGAAGTAGCAATTGAGTGACTCAATTGAGTCGTTTGATAGTTCAGTCTGTGGATGTATGGATCAGCAGACCTATACCTTTCAAAGATCAAGTTTTGCCTGATTTCCATTGGAGAACGGAATGGCTGCAAATGTGCATTTTTACCCACAAGTCAATCTCTTCCCGAAATCGTCGACCCGGACTGTTGAATCATCTACCAATGGATATATCTGGAGGGAAGAGGCTCTTAACGTACCCAATGCCTTCTCCTTAACTTCTTCCAAAGGACAATTGCAAGTTGAAAAGGTGGAGGCTATCTTTCCTGCGTACATACTGCTTAGCTACTTTTGCAGGCGATTGCGAACTAGTACTACTTCATCATGAGTTCCAGAGCACTCCGGAGGCTTGAGAGACAAAGGGAATCGGCAACTCCAGAAGCCGAAAATGACTCCGACCATGAAGAAGTCAAGAAACCAGCAGTTAACAGATTTGCCTTTTTGGGTGCTGAAAGTGACGATGATGCAGGCAATAATGACCTGGTAGATGAAGCTGAGCCTGAGCAGCCAGTCCCAGAGACACCGACTATATCAAGAAAGAAGAACAAAAAGAAGAACAAGAAGAAGAAAAAGCAGCAGCAACAACAACAGGATAATTCGGACAAGGAGGGTGAAGACGATGAAGATCTAGACCAGTTCCTCGAGCAAATCAGACAACGTGATTTGGCTAATTCAAAGAGTGTTTCAGTTGAGGCAGAGGGAGATGGGGAATTGGATGAGGATTTTGAAGAACAATTTGATAATTCTGATCCTCCAATTGCTTACACAGCTGCCAACTTTCATTACTTCACTACCTCCAGGCTCAAAGAGTGCTTGCCACTCTTGTCCATAAAAGCTGTCAAGAACTTGGATCCAGATAATGAGCTCAAAAATCTTTTCGGTAACTTGAGTCTTGAGACAATCGACGATGCAAACAGCACGACTTCAATGTCGATATCACCTGAAGTGTTAGCACAGTTCAGAAAGATCGCACGACTCACAAGAGGATGGGGTGGCAGAGACCGCAGGGGCGTTCCGGGAACATCAAGGAAACTTTTACTCACAACCATCAAGGATGATTACCTTCCCACGGCACAAAAACAGCTTAATATGGAGGAGCTCACGACTGATGACGTTGTAGAGACCCTCAGATACAAAGAGGAGGATGAAGGCTACGATTTTCTCAGTAATAAGGTTAAGGCCCAAGCAAAACTTGGAGTTCGTCATTTTAAATTCACGAAGGTACCTTCTGTCTCGGATAGAGTGGCCAATTCGAAATTCTATGCGTCAGTCGTTATGACGCCTGACCCAGATGCATTGATTCAATTGATCCAACAACACCCATATCATGTTGAGACGCTTCTACAAGTGTCGATGGTCTTCCTTAGACAAGGGAACAACAAGGCGATGAGCAATGCCTTGGTAGAGAAGTGCCTCTTTGTCTTTGACCGCTCCTTCAACAAGAGGTTCCATGAGATGCTTCAAGACGGCAAGTCTGAGCTCATAAGGCTTCCTTACGAGACATTCATGAACAGACAGTTCTATCTTTGCATTTTCCGTATCATCACCGGAATGGCCGAGCGCTCAACCTTCTTTACAGCGTTGAACTACTGTAAGCTCCTTTGGGGTTTCAGCCCGGCCGAAGATCCCATTGGAGTTCGTTACTTCATCGACCATTACGCCATACTTTCTGAGGAATACGACTGGCTCGTTAAGGTCGCTAATAGCCCACTTATCACGACCTACGCTCAATGGTACACACCAGGTATTGCATTCTCAGAGGTTCTCGCATTGCTCCACTTAAACAAGACTGAGGAGGCCAGGCTGAGGTTGGAAGAGGCATTTACCGCACATACATATTGCGCTTACCACCTTCTAGAAAATATCGGCTTGTCCTCAAAACCACCCACTTCGTTGAAGGACATCTACCAGGACGACTATGTTGTGCTTGCAAGCGAGACGTACCTTGTGAGGGCCCCATTATTATGGAAGGATCAGCTGCATAGACAGTTCCTTCATGACGAACTCACGAAGTTGTTCTCGACGTTCAAACCGCAAACGACTGGATCGTGGTTGGGCAAGTTCTTCTCTAAGGAATCAAAACCAATTGCTCTTCCAATTAATCTCGTTCGATTTGCAATTCTCTCCGGTGAAAACAAAGTGCTTGCTAAAGTTCCAGAATCTGTTTTCGACCGAGATGATGTTCTTGAATACGATGTGATGCCTCCCAAGGATGCTTCTGCCGCCTATGATGTATTCACCGGAGTCGATAATACCACTGGTGTTACAGACGCATTACCCAATTACATCGACCACAACATCATTTCAGCAATTGTGCAAAACCGAACCGGCGCCGAGTTTGATGAGCTTTTGGATAGGTTGCAATTGCAAGAGGTGGAGGAGGGTCAAGTGCCCGCGGAAGAATAGATGCCAATGGCTATACGAGGGGAAGAGATCTGAGGAACACTGGTCCATCAATGGTCAAATTCAAAAAGCTTTTGTCTCAATTGCCTCGACTAAGAAACCAGACATCGACTCATTCGCGTCGCCTCACCAAACTTTATAGAAACAGTTATGGTTATACAACTCGTGTGCGAGTGCGCATTAAAAACTCACCAGACGACTCCCGGTTCCACCAACTAGCCTACACAGCATGATCGCCATCGATCTTGATTTTGCTGAGGGCCAATGGCAATACCACATATCTACCACGTTTTTCGTTGGTGTAATTTTGCCCCTTCTATACTACGTGTATGAAAAATACGTTACCCCGAGACCAAACAAGTACAACAAGCTCGAAGCACCAAAGAAGCTCGTGTACCCTATTGCTGATGAAGCGAAGCCTCATTGGAAGGGTAAGAGGCTCTACTCGCCTAACATAGGCTTACGCGTACCTGGCGAACCTACAAAGATCCAAAGTTACTGTCCAGCAACAGCACAGTTCTTGGGTACCTTTGAGTGCACCTCTCGCAAGGAGATGGACGAGCAAATCAAGAAAGCTGAAGCTGCCCAAAAAGAATGGGCTCAATCAAGCTTTGTGGTCAGAAAACAGCTTTTGCGGACTCTCAATCAGTTCATTTTGGATAACCAACAAGACATCGCACGCGTCGCTTGTAGAGACAGTGGAAAGACGAAGTTGGACGCTTCAATGGGTGAGATCATGGTCACTTTGGAGAAGATCAATTGGATCATCGCCCACGGCGAAAAAGCATTGAGTCCCTCGAGTAGGGCTGGACCTTCATCTCTCCTTATGGGTCTTATGAAGCATGCCGAGGTTCGCTACGAACCTTTGGGTGTCATCGCGGCCATTGTGTCTTGGAACTACCCTTTGCATAACCTTATTGGTCCTGTTTTGGCAGCATTGTTCAGCGGAAATGCTATTATTGTTAAATGCTCGGAGCAAGTCGTGTGGTCTTCTACGTGGTTTGTGGGTATGATCCACGCTGCCCTTCGCCTGCTTGGCCTTAATGAGGACATTGTCCAATTGTGTTACTGCTACCCTGAAGATGCCGAATATTTCACATCTCACCCAGGCTTGAAGCACATCACATTCATCGGCTCCAAGCCTGTTGCGCAGAAGGTTCTTCAAAGTGCCTCTACTGAATTGACGCCATGTGTTATCGAACTTGGCGGCAAAGATTCAGTCATTGTGTTGGATGATATGTCCGACTACAACCCATTGTCGTCTGTCCTCTTGAGAGGCACTTTCCAGAGCGCCGGCCAAAACTGTATCGGAATCGAACGTGTCATTTGTCTTCCAAAAGCTTACGAAAAATTAGTGCCAATCTTAGAAGAAAGGCTCCGCGGGTTCCGTCTTGGTTCGGATATCGATCAACTTGATGAGATTGACATGGGCGCTATGATTTCAGACAATCGCTTTGCTGCCATCGAAGAACTCATTGAAGATGCTGTGTCTAAGGGTGCTCGTCTTTTAGCTGGTGGAAAGCCTTATCTGCATCCAAACTACCCACAAGGACACTATTTTGAGCCAACTCTTTTGGTCGATGTGGATACATCCATGAAGATTGCCAACACCGAGGTGTTCGGTCCTGTTCTCACCATGATGAAAGCCACTGATGTTGATGATGCGGTGAGAATCTCAAACAGCACCGAGTTTGGTCTCGGTAATTCTGTCTTTGGTTCGTCCTTCAAGCAATGTAACGCAATTGCTCAACGACTCGAGTCTGGAAATGTCGCGATCAATGACTTCGCTACATTCTACGTATGCCAGCTTCCCTTCGGTGGTATAAAGAAGTCTGGATTCGGTAAGTTTGGTGGTGAAGAGGGATTGACCGGTCTTTGCAATGCCAAGTCCGTGGTCATGGACAAACCACTCTTGAGACTACTCGGAGTCAAGACCGCCATTCCACCACCAATTGATTATCCAATTGCCGACGACAAAAAAGCTTGGGGCTTTGTCAGCGGGCTCAACACTGCAAGCTACGACTCCCGCTTCTGGAAGATTGTTAATGGTTTCAAAAAATTGGCCAAGGGCGGCGCCTGAGGCTCTACATTGCACATAGACTGGAACGTTTAATAAAATGGCCGTTTGCCGGCTGGTAGAAATGAACTCTTTGTATTTAAGCGTTGGTGTGCAACGCTGGTGTAGGGTTGGTGGCAGCATCAATCAAAACCTTGGTGACATCCTTCTTCTTGGCCTGGTACTGCTTCTTGATGTCTTGCAACTCCTTCTCGACCTGAGCATCAGCGTCCTTCTCGATGGTGTCGTTCAAACCAGCATGGTCTTCCTCGTACTTCTTCAATTCCTTCTCCTTTTGCTCCTTGTATTGGTCAATTTCCTTTTGAGCATCCTGCTTGGCGCTCTTCAACCTCGTGGTTCTATATTTTCTGGCCTCATTGACGATCTCGGCGGCGTCTTTTTCGGTCTTCAACAATGACTGGATGCTGGATGACATAATATGGAAATTGTGATAACTATACAGTTGGAGCTATCTGAGGTGTTCTCAGATTAGTGAACAGCGATTTTGGGTCACATGACCGCACCTGCTTGTAGCCTACCGGCCATTTTGCAGCCAAAAAGTATATTACAAGATTTCTATATATAATTATTTCATGCAATCATTCGGCGTAATGGCCTTCTGCAATATAACGCAACATGTACTCGTCAATGTGACCCACACCTTCGTCGTAGTCTGCATCGTCCAAGTTACCTCCTTTAACACCACGAGGTCCCTTGGCTTTGGGATCCTCTTTATTTTCTTCATTAAAGTCCTCGTCGTCAACGGCAACTTCCTTCATGGCTTCCTTGGCCGCATTACGGTCTGCTTCATCTTCGGCTTGCGCCAAAATATCGACATTCGCACTGTCGCCAATTGGGTTGTCTGGCAACTCAGAAATGATGCTCGTGTCGTTGACCAAATCTCTAACGGAGAACTTGCCCAAATAGTCAGTTGTGAATTCACCCTCTTGAATAACAACATTATCCAATTGTCTCTTTTGGTTGGCTTTCTTGAGAATGTTGGACTCGATGGTGTACTCCGACACGAAACGATAAATGTGCACATCTCTCAGTTGACCAATTCTGTGACAACGATCTTGACATTGCTTATCCATGGCAGGATTCCAGTCAGAGTCGTAGAAAATGACGGTGTCAGCACCAGTAAGATTGATACCAAGACCACCAGACCTTGTCGATAGGATAAACACCGGGATTCTAGGATCTCTGTTGAACTTTTCCGTCAATAATTGACGATCCTCGATCTTGGTGGCACCATCCAAACGCATGTATCTGTGTCCATGGATATTGAGGAATTGCTCCAAGATATCCAAGACTTTCGTCATTTGGGTAAAGATCAACGCTCTATGGCCCTTTGGAATCAAATCCTGCAATAACGCAGCGAGCTTCTGCAACTTACCACAATCGAACTGGAGAAGTTGCTTATCTGGGAATGCAATCGAGAGCTTGACCTGTGCTTGATGGAATGGATTAGTGATTGCTCGTTCTTCAACACCAGCACGTACAGCATATTGAGTCTCAACAGGAATCATCTGGTCCTTCATATCGAGGGCAACCACACTTGGCGTCACAACACCATACTTCTCTATTGTGTCCTTCATGATCTCGGCTCTCCTAGGGATATCGTAAATCATTGAGTCGAGGAGCTCACAGCGAGGCTGAACAAAGACCCCCTTCAACCTGTCAAGAACGGACAGTCCGTAAAGTGGTTTGCGGGAACATCTCAAATTGTTGAGGTACAACCAATGCTTCAATCTGTCTCTGTGCTCAATTTGCTCTTGCAATTTCAAAAACTTGTTCAATTGCACGACGTCGGTGTAAGATGGATCCTGTGCTTCTTTACCTTTCGCAATGATATCATCCAAGAACTGAATTTCCTTCTCGATCTCTTTACTTGACTTCAAACGATCACGACCCTCAGCAGCAAACCAGTTAAGATCGTCACTTTGGGCTATGTCCAAATTCAATACGGAAAAATTGATATTTTTCTTTGGCAAGCCCGTCAAAAGTTTCTTAACAGTCAGATCCTGAACCTTGAACGTATTGGCTACGTTCCTCGGAATTGCATACGAAGTAACAATAGGACGAACTTCAAAAAGGTCAGGGTGATTGCACACCTTTCTCAATTGCATCAAACAATTGATAATAGAAAGAAAATTTCCAGACACCAAAGTCTCCTTCGTTTTCGCACGAGACATAAAATCGTCATACAAGTACCTTTGACGCTTTGACAAGCGACAGTAGACAATGTGCTCGTACTTTCCAGGCATTTGCTTTTCCACATCCTTTTTCAAACGTCTTAAGAGATATGGACGAAGAACTTGATGCAAGCGTGCAACGGTATTCTTTGTCTCCTCATCCAAACGCCCAGTGACGTTCTCGTCCATAACATCGCCCGTGCCAGTCTTTTCAAGAATTTTATCCACTGGTTTACCAAACCATTGCTGGAAATCCTCAAAGTTCGCGAAGCCATCAGGCATCATCTGGTCCACCTTGGAAGAAGGCATAAGGAAATATAACAAAGACCACAATTCCATTAAGTTGTTCTGCAATGGTGTACCGGTAAGCAATAATCTGTTCTCAGTGTTGAAGTTGAGCAATGCCTTCCACCTGTTCGATCTAAAATTTTTGATGTTGTGGGCTTCATCCAAGATCATGTATCTCCACTTACGGCGCTTGAAGGAGGAATGGTCATGAACAACAAGTTGATATGACGTGATGCACACATGGAAAGTGTCAATCTTATTCCAGCCCTTTCTCTTTCTTGCTCTTTCTTGTGGAGAACCGTAGTATGTCAAAACTTTGAAGCCAGGAGCAAACCTTTTGAATTCCATCTCCCAATTGAGCATGACAGAGGTGGGCACGATGATCAAATGTGGCCCCCAAATGTGATGTTCGCAGGCCAAGTACGAAAGTAAAGCAATTGTTTGAATCGTTTTACCAAGACCCA